GCCTTTGAGAGCTATCGCAGTGCTATCTTTTCGGTGCGCACCATTGTGGACACGGATCTGATTGCACGCTGCGTGGACTCGCATCATGCCAACCTGGTGATCAATTTGGATCCGCCCAACGATCATGTCACATATTTGCATCGGTCGGGGCGTTCCGGTCGCTTCGAGTCAAAGGCCATTGCCATCACATTCATCTCATCGCCGAAGCAGAGCGAAAACTTTAAGCGGATTCTGGCCAAGGCAGACACAGGCATGTCCGTTCTGCAGTTGCCAACAGAAGGGCCGCCGTCGAAGGGATTTAATTACTTTGCATTTGATGCTTATGAGTTTCCGTATTACTTAAATTCGGAAGCAAACGAGCAGGACGAGAATTAGTTGAATCAAATCAAGAAGGCCACCAAACTGGCCATTAAAATAGCCAACGAAAAGGAATCCAGATATGTGTATCCAGTGGAGGTAAATACGCAGGTCACAGAAGCAGCTGCAGGGCAACAAATCGTTTAGGAATGTGCCCCACAAGGAGTTCTTATCGCTCCCGCTGTAGTGCAGGAGGAAAAGCAAAACAATCTAGAATTTGAGGTTAAAACATATCCCACAGTGGCAGACAGCCAGTAGCCGTGCCGGAAGACATTCTATCGCCAAACGATGACAAGCCCAGAACCAGTTCGGCGGCCAAAAAGGGAAAAACTGAGGCGCAAAGCCGAGAAACAAAAGCACGCCAAAAGCAACTTGGGTGCGCCAGCAAAAGCCAACGTTAGTGCTACTCCGGCAGACAACAGGAGAATCGACCAGCTAATGGAGCAGAAGCGAGCATGGAGAACGCTGGAATCACTTATGCAAGTGGAAGACAGACCCCGACAGATGTTTCCCAGGCACCAACACACCTCTCGGTCAGCTCGGCTATAGCCGAAACCACAGGAGAGCTGCCGCTAGAGACCCACCAAATAGTCATGGAAGTGGAAGACTTCCACAGATATCACAAACACCAACATATGTGTCACAGGAGCCAACGCCGACTCATCCAGCTCACCCAAATTCAATCAATAAGAAAACCTTCTGCCTAGTGGTGCCCGACATGGACAACAGCTCGATCACGCTGCAGCCTCATGTACTGTCGAATACGGTGGGACGATGCCAGCAGCATTGTGTCGGACAGCCTGGAGGCGGCTATGGAAGTGATACCTCCTATGTCAGCCACTACACGGACAGCGATGGCCAGATCATTTGGCAGCGCTACAGCGCACGTCAGCAGGTGCTCAAGCGTCGTCGTCGCTCCCTGAAGACACGTCCCTGGTACCACAAATGTTCTACGTTTGTGCGTTTGCACAAATCATTAAAGAGCGTCAAGGTATGTCAATGGATTATCCTTTTGGTTCGGGAAATTAACCTTTTATTGCAGAGACCCGGCGTTGAATCGCTGCTGCCAGTTCTGGCCCATCATCAGTTTCCATTGAAAATCGGGAGAGCATAATCCAACGCTTGAATGCCTACAAAAGGCGATTCAAGGTGAAGAACGAGTCGGACTGGCTGGACGAGCACTACAAGACGGCAATGGAAGTTTTCTCTACGGATTATGGCAATGCCACAGAGCAGGACAAATCAGAGAAGCCGCAACAGCAGCAGCAGTAGCCACCAGCAGCAGCGCTTGGTAAGCTGAGCGTTCATGTTGCCCATCAGATGAACATTCCAGCAGTAGCAGCACCAGCAGCAGCACCTGTAACTGTAGCAGCCGTGCAAGCAGCTGTTGAAGATTAAAAAAACATCCTCCGAATCGGCTTTAAGATTAGAGGAGGATGAGGAAGTTGTTGAGGAATTGAGTTCCCCGACGAGCGGCTTTGGTGATAGTACAGAGGAGAGTGCTTCATGTGGCATTGGGACCTCTGCCTGCGATCCTTCTGCCTTCTCGGATCCACTGGAAAATGATGATGAAGATGACGAGGACACCGACTGCATGCAGCTCTGGGAGGAGACCTACCAAACAACGTCAGCAACGAGTACATCATGGCACAGGCCAGCATCATGGGACGGTACTGGTAGCCCACATTCAGCCGCAGACTCCGATTCACATTTACGCTGCTTACGCAATTGACGGCTGCATGACGGCACACACATGCAGTCCCGTGAGCACCACGAAGTAAATTATGTCACGGAATTTGAGCATTGCAAATATTGAGAATTTTGTCTGTATGTTGTGTGAAATTTGTGTGAGTTTGGTGTGAAACCAAAAGGTTGCTGTGAAGTTCTGATGTTTTAGGCTTAGAGTTGGCTTTTTACTGAAATTTATTTGAGAACCAGCTTCTGAATTGCTTGGAAAAGCAAAAACACGTAGAAATCAAATCACAATTTAAATATTCCCGCAAAGCGAGGAATTTTGAGAGTAACTTCTGCGTGCAACATGCTGCGAAAAGTGAGCGGCAGTGCTCTTCAACGTGGGCACGAAATAAGCCACATTCTGGTCCCCTTGCGGCGATGTAAATGGGGGAACATCGAACAAATTATTCTTTCAGTTCTGAAAGTCTAAACTAAATGGTAATATTAATCAGAACATCAAAATTGAGGTAAATATTTATTATCTATAGTATATATGGAAGTGTGAACGTATATTATTTTTGGTATATTTCTGGGGTATTTTTGTGCTCACATTTGAAACGCAAAAATGCATACGGGAGAGCGTTTAATAGGAGAGAATTTCCCTGACCGTTTAGAGACAGGAATGAATTTCCCTGTATATGAACAGCGCGCTCAGCTTGCTATATTTGAATTGAACGCTCTTTTATTACCAGAAGATGTCAAACTATCGGTTGTTTTGCAACTTGTAGAGACAGGTGAAAGAGAGAGGAGCTACTATACTCGTTACTATCGATGGTTGAGGAATTAACCAACCATCGATAGTAACGATGGTGCTACCGATTTTTCTCCCAGCCCTGGTCACGCTGCGTGCGACGCCAAAAACCGCGTTTTTGTTTTTATTGAAGAAATTGCCTAAGAAACTTCCAAGAATTGCACTGATGTGGAGGGCGGAGGCGCAATTGGGCATAATTTGGCGAATGGCGAGAAGCGCACCATGGACGTGGAGGCTGGACGACTGCCATACTTCTCGGATTTGCAGCTGTGCCCAGTGGCCTGACGGCCAACAATTTTAAGACGCCAACGAAAATTGAAGCTGCAGCCATACCCATGACGCTGACCGGCATGGGTAAGTGTAAAGTATTTAAATGGAATCCTAAAATTAACATTTTGTTGCAGATCTGCTGGTGCAGTTGAAGAGCGGCACGGGCAAGACGCTGATCTATGTGGTGACGGCGCTGCAGGCGGTCAACGTGAATTGGAATTATCCGGGAATTTTGGTCATTCTGCCCACACGTGAGCTGGCCATACAGGTGCACGATACATTCCGCTACTTGGGCCAGAGAATGCGGGAATTGAAGGTGAATTCGTTTATTGGCGGCACCGATGTGACCAAGGATCTTGAGAAGCTGCGGAACTGTCATGTGGTCATTGGCACACCGGGCCGCCTGCTGCAGCTGCACGAGAAGGGTGTGTACAATCCGTCCCGCGTGCGGCTGCTGGTGCTCGACGAGGCCGGACAGCTGTACATGACGGAGAGCCTGCAGAGGACGGTGAATGATTTGATTGCTCTGCTGCCGCGACAGCGTCAGGTCATCGCCTGCAATGCCACCTGTGATCAGAATTTTGACGAGAAGATAGCCAGGATGATGGAGAAGTTTATACTGATATCGAATAGCGAACGGGCCACCGTGCTGCTGGGCATTCGGCAGTTTGTCTACGAGCTGCCGGAGCAGATCAACAACATGCTGTAGATGCGTCTGAAGCTGGAGGCGCTAAAGAAGATCTTCACCCACCTAAACTACGAGCAGGCGGTTCTCTTTTCCAATTCCAAAATGCGCGCAGATTCGTACTGCAAGTACCTGAACGCCGGCGGCATACCCTGCATGCTGCTGTCGGGTGATCTCGCCCAGAGCGAGCGCTCCGAGGCCTTTGAGAGCTATCTTTTCGGTGCGCACCATTGTGGACACGGATCTGATTGCACGCTGCGTGGACTCGCATCATGCCAACCTGGTGATCAATTTGGATCCGCCCAACGATCATGTCACATATTTGCATCGGTCGGGGCGTTCCGGTCGCTTCGAGTCAAAGGCCATTGCCATCACATTCATCTCATCGCCGAAGCAGAGCGAAAACTTTAAGCGGATTCTGGCCAAGGCAGGCACAGGCATGTCCGTTCTGCAGTTGCCAACAGAAGGGCCGCCGTCGAAGGGATTTAATTACTTTGCATTTGATGCTTATGAGTTTCCGTATTACTTTAATTCGGAAGCAAACGAGCAGGACGAGAATTAGTTGAATCAAATCAAGAAGGCCACCAAACTGGCCATTAAAATAGCCAACGAAAAGGCATCCAGATATCTGTATCCAGTGGTGGTAAAGACACAGGAAGAGAGACAGGAGGCAGAGGCATTCAGAGAGACAGTCAGACAGACAGCCATAGTGACAGGAAGAGAGACAGGCAGAGAGACAGTCAGAGAGAAAGGCAGAGAGACAGGAGGCAGAGAGACAGAAAGAGAGACAGGCAGGCAAAGAGGTTCACAGACATAAGCAACTATATAAGGAGGCCTCGTCCGCCCCAATTCTCAGTGCACGTTTGCTTGTCGACGCGGAAGGTTGGTTGCGGACAACATTTTTTTTCAATTTTATTTTAAATGTTTATTTTTTCAGAACAGTCTACTATTATTATGTATGTATGTATATATGTATGTAGGTATGTACATATGTATGTAGTTATGTACATATGCAGTCAGAGAGACAGCAAGTAGAGGGACAGGCAGAGAGGGAGACCCGTACCACCGATTAACAAGCAACAAATTGATTCATCAATCGCTTAAAATCTTCTTTAAGTTCTGAAAGTCTAAACTAAATGGTAATATTAATCAGAACATCAAAATTGAGGTAAATATTTATTATCTATAGTATATATGGAAGTGTGAACGTATATTATTTTTGGTTTATTTCTGGGGTATTTTTGTGCTCACATTNTCTGCCCACACGTGAGCTGGCCATACAGGTGCACGATACATTCCGCTACTTGGGCCAGAGAATGCGGGAATTGAAGGTGAATTCGTTTATTGGCGGCACCGATGTGACCAAGGATCTTGAGAAGCTGCGGAACTGTCATGTGGTCATTGGCACACCGGGCCGCCTGCTGCAGCTGCACGAGAAGGGTGTGTACAATCCGTCCCGCGTGCGGCTGCTGGTGCTCGACGAGGCCGGACAGCTGTACATGACGGAGAGCCTGCAGAGGACGGTGAATGATTTGATTGCTCTGCTGCCGCGACAGCGTCAGGTCATCGCCTGCAATGCCACCTGTGATCAGAATTCTGACGAGAAGATAGCCAGGATGATGGAGAAGTTTATACTGATATCGAATAGCGAACGGGCCACCGTGCTGCTGGGCATTCGGCAGTTTGTCTACGAGCTGCCGGAGCAGATCAACAACATGCTGTAGATGCGTCTGAAGCTGGAGGCGCTAAAGAAGATCTTCACCCACCTAAACTACGAGCAGGCGGTTCTCTTTTCCAATTCCAAAATGCGCGCAGATTCGTACTGCAAGTACCTGAACGCCGGTGGCATACCCTGCATGCTGCTGTCGGGTGATCTCGCCCAGAGCGAGCGCTCCGAGGCCTTTGAGAGCTATCTTTTCGGTGCGCACCATTGTGGACACGGATCTGATTGCACGCTGCGTGGACTCGCATCATGCCAACCTGGTGATCAATTTGGATCCGCCCAACGATCATGTCACATATTTGCATCGGTCGGGGCGTTCCGGTCGCTTCGAGTCAAAGGTCATTGCCATCACATTCATCTCATCGCCGAAGCAGAGCGAAAACTTTAAGCGGATTCTGGCCAAGGCAGGCACAGGCATGTCCGTTCTGCAGTTGCCAACAGAAGGGCCGCCGTCGAAGGGATTTAATTACTTTGCATTTGATGCTTATGAGTTTCCGTATTACTTTAATTCGGAAGCAAACGAGCAGGACGAGAATTAGTTGAATCAAATCAAGAAGGCCACCAAACTGGCCATTAAAATAGCCAACGAAAAGGCATCCAGATATCAGAAAGAGAGACAGGCAGGCAAAGAGGTTCACAGACATAAGCAACTATATAAGGAGGCCTCGTCCGCCCCAATTCTCAGTGCACGTTTGCTTGTCGACGCGGAAGGTTGGTTGCGGACAACATTTTTTTTCAATTTTATTTTAAATGTTTATTTTTTCAGAACAGTCTACTATTATTATGTATGTATGTATATATGTATGTAGGTATGTACATATGTATGTAGTTATGTACATATGCAGCCAGAGAGACAGCAAGTAGAGGGACAGGCAGAGAGGGAGACCCGTACCACCGATTAACAAGCAACAAATTGATTCATCAATCGCTTAAAATCTTCTTTAAGTTCTGAAAGTCTAAACTAAATGGTAATATTAATCAGAACATCAAAATTGAGGTAAATATTTATTATCTATAGTATATATGGAAGTGTGAACGTATATTATTTTTGGTTTATTTCTGGGGTATTTTTGTGCTCACATTTGAAACGCAAAAATGCATACGGGAGAGCGTTTCATAGGAGAGAATTTCCCTGACCGTTTAGAGACAGGAATGAATTTCCCTGTATATGAACAGCGCGCTCAGCTTGCTATATTTGAATTGAACGCTCTTTTATTACCAGAAGATGTCAAACTATCGGTTGTTTTGCAACTTGTAGAGACAGGTGAAAGAGAGAGGAGCTACTATACTCGTTACTATCGATGGTTGAGGAATTAACCAACCATCGATAGTAACGATGGTGCTACCGATTTTTCTCCCAGCCCTGGTCACGCTGCGGGCGACGCCAAAAACCGCGTTTTTGTTTTTATTGAAGAAATTGCCTAAGAAACTTCCAAGAATTGCACTGATGTGGAGGGCGGAGGCGCAATTGGGCATAATTTGGCGAATGGCGAGAAGCGCACCATGGACGTGGAGGCTGGACGACTGCCATACTTCTCGGATTTGCATCTGTGCCCTGTGGTGCTCAGCGGCCTGACGGCCAACAATTTTAAGACGCCAACGAAAATTGAAGCTGCAGCCATACCCATGACGCTGACCGGCATGGGTAAGTGTAAAGTATTTAAATGGAATCCTAAAATTAACATTTTGTTGCAGATCTGCTGGTNAATAAGCATGACGTCAATGGCATTCGTTTTTAAAAATAAAGCTATTTCATTTACATGGTTGGAAAGCCCATTGGCATTCCATATTCCTAAGTTTAGATTTATTTGCATAGCTTATTTACAAGTAACATTATCATGTTAAGTAAATTATTGGTAAGTTGAGATTGTTTTTCTAGAAGCTGTTCTATTCTTTCTAGAGACTTGTTCGAGTTACTATTTCCTGCAGCAACTTGAGCGTATGATTGGTAATCTTTGGGTTGTTGGGTCGAATTATTAGACGGAGCAAATGATTGATATGTACCATGGTCATTTTTATTTTTGTCATCTTTGGTGTTTCTCTGGTGGTTGCGCCCGCTTACTATTTTTTTTGATATAAGATCCTGATAGACTTTACACCCTTTGTAACTAGCAGCATGATCTTCGTTGCAGTTGGCACATTTTGCTGGTTGCTCTTTATCTTTTGGGCAAACGTTGCTGGGATGGTTAAGAGAGCATTTCACACATCTGTGAGTTTTGGCACAATATGACTTTGTGTGTCCAAATTCCTGGCAACGATAACACTGAACGATTTCTTTAGTTTTACGGGGTGGTTCTATATTAACAACTGCGTTACCAATGAGTTTAACTTTGTATATATCTAAGTTCTTATTGTTGGGCTCAATGTCTAAGTAGAACAAATTCAATGGCTCTTTGGTTACACGACTTTTAATATTACTAATGTTTCTAACAGCGTGACCTTTGGACTCCACATCTTGTTTGATTAATTCGAATTAATTCGATTAATTAATTGCTCACATTTGAAACGGAAAAATTCATACGGGAGAGCGTTTAATAGGAGAGAATTTCCCTGACCGTTTAGAGACAGGAATGAATTTCCCTGTATATGCGCGCTCAGCTTGCTATATTTGAATTTAACGCTCTTTTATTACCAGAAGATGTCAAACTATCGGTTGTTTTGCAACTTGTAGAGACAGGTGAAAGAGAGAGGAGCTACTATACTCGTTACTATCGATGGTTGAGGAATTAACCAACCATCGATAGTAACGATGGTGCTACCGATTTTTCTCCCAGCCCTGGTCACGCTGCGTGCGACGCCAAAAACCGCGTTTTTGTTTTTATTGAAGAAATTGCCTAAGAAACTTCCAAGAATTGCACTGATGTGGAGGGCGGAGGCGCAATTAAGAAGCGCACCATCGACGTGGAGGCTGGACGACTGCCATACTTCTCGGATTTGCATCTGTGCCCTGTGGTGCTCAGCGGCCTGACGGCCAACAATTTTAAGACGCCAACGAAAATTGAAGCTGCAGCCATACCCATGACGCTGACCGGCATGGGTAAGTGTAAAGTATTTAAATGGAATCCTAAAATTAACATTTTGTTGCAGATCTGCTGGTGCAGTTGAAGAGCGGCACGGGCAAGACGCTGATCTATGTGGTGACGGCGCTGCAGGCGGTCAACGTGAATTGGAATTATCCGGGAATTTTGGTCATTCTGCCCACACGTGAGCTGGCCATACAGGTGCACGATACATTCCGCTACTTGGGCCAGAGAATGCGGGAATTGAAGGTGAATTCGTTTATTGGCGGCACCGATGTGATCAAGGATCTTGAGAAGCTGCGGAACTGTCATGTGGTCATTGGCACACCGGGCCGCCTGCTGCAGCTGCACGAGAAGGGTGTGTACAATCCGTCCCGCGTGCGGCTGCTGGTGCTCGACGAGGCCGGACAGCTGTACATGACGGAGAGCCTGCAGAGGACGGTGAATGATTTGATTGCTCTGCTGCCGCGACAGCGTCAGGTCATCGCCTGCAATGCCACCTGTGATCAGAATTTTGACGAGAAGATAGCCAGGATGTACCTCTTCAAATATGACTATAGCTTATCGCTTGCGGCCACCGTGCTGCTGGGCATTCGGCAGTTTGTCTACGAGCTGCCGGAGCAGATCAACAACATGCTGTAGATGCGTCTGAAGCTGGAGGCGCTAAAGAAGATCTTCACCCACCTAAACTACGAGCAGGCGGTTCTCTTTTCCAATTCCAAAATGCGCGCAGATTCGTACTGCAAGTACCTGAACGCCGGCGGCATACCCTGCATGCTGCTGTGTGGTGATCTCGCCCAGAGCGAGCGCTCCGAGGCCTTTGAGAGCTATCGCAGTGCTATCTTTTCGGTGCGCACCATTGTGGACACGGATCTGATTGCACGCTGCGTGGACTCGCATCATGCCAACCTGGTGATCAATTTGGATCCGCCCAACGATCATGTCACATATTTGCATCGGTCGGGGCGTTCCGGTCGCTTCGAGTCAAAGGCCATTGCCATCACATTCATCTCATCGCCGAAGCAGAGCGAAAACTTTAAGCGGATTCTGGCCAAGGAAGGCACAGGCATGTCCGTTCTGCAGTTGCCAACAGAAGGGCCGCCGTCGAAGGGATTTAATTACTTTGCATTTGATGCTTATGAGTTTCCGTATTACTTTAATTCGGAAGCAAACGAGCAGGACGAGAATGAGTTGAATCAAATCAAGAAGGCCACCAAACTGGCCATTAAAATAAAAAACTGAAAAAACTGAGGCGCAAAGCCGAGAAACAAAAGCACGCCAAAAGCAACTTGGGTGCGCCAGCAAAAGCCAACGTTAGTGCTACTCCGGCAGACAACAGGAGAATCGACCAGCTAATGGAGCAGAAGCGAGCATGGAGAACGCTGGAATCACTCATGCAAGTGGAAGACAGACCCCGAAAGATGTTTCCCAGGCACCAACACACCTCTCGGTCAGCTCGGCTATAGCCGAAACCACAGGAGAGCTGCCGCTAGAGACCCACCAAACATTCATGGAAGTGGAAGACTCTCCACAGATATCACAAACACCAACATATGTGTCACAGGAGCCAAAGCCGACTTACCCAGCTGCCACTCACCCGATACCGCCCGCAAATTCAATCAATAAGAAAACCTACTGCCTAGTGGTGCCCGACATGGACAACAGCTCGATCACGCTGCAGCCTCATGTACTGTCGAATACGGTGGGACGATGCCAGCAGCATTGTGTCGGACAGCCTGGAGGCGGCTATGGAAGTGATACCTCCTATGTCAGCCACTACACGGACAGCGATGGCCAGATCATTTGGCAGCGCTACAGCGCACGTCAGCAGGTGCTCAAGCGTCGTCGTCGCTCCCTGAAGACACGTCCCTGGTACCACAAATGTTCTACGTTTGTGCGTTTGCACAAATCATTAAAGAGCGTCAAGGTATGTCAATGGATTATCCTTTTGGTTCGGGAAATTAACCTTTTATTGCAGAGACCCGGCGTTGAATCGCTGCTGCCAGTTCTGGCCCATCATCAGTTTCCATTGAAAATCGGGAGAGCATAATCCAACGCTTGAATGCCTACAAAAGGCGATTCAAGGTGAAGAACGAGTCGGACTGGCTGGACGAGCACTACAAGACGGCAATGGAAGTTTTCTCTACGGATTATGGCAATGCCACAGAGCAGGACAAATCAGAGAAGCCGCAACAGCAGCAGCAGTAGCCACCAGCAGCAGCGCTTGGTAAGCTGAGCGTTCATGTTGCCCATCAGATGAACATTCCAGCAGTAGCAGCACCAGCAGCAGCACCTGTAACTGTAGCAGCCGTGCAGGCAGCTGTTGAAGATTAAAAAAACATCCTCCGAATCGGCTTTAAGATTAGAGGAGGATGAGGAAGTTGTTGAGGAATTGAGTTCCCCGACGAGCGGCTTTGGTGATAGTACAGAGGAGAGTGCTTCATGTGGCATTGGGACCTCTGCCTGCGATCCTTCTGCCTTCTCGGATCCACTGGAAAATGATGATGAAGATGACGAGGACACCGACTGCATGCAGCTCTGGGAGGAGACCTACCAAACAACGTCAGCAACGAGTACATCATGGCACAGGCCAGCATCATGGGACGGTACTGGTAGCCCACATTCAGCCGCAGACTCCGATTCACATTTACGCTGCTTACGCAATTGACGGCTGCATGACGGCACACACATGCAGTCCCGTGAGCACCACGAAGTAAATTATGTCACGGAATTTGAGCATTGCAAATATTGAGAATTTTGTCTGTATGTTGTGTGAAATTTGTGTGAGTTTGGTGTGAAACCAAAAGGTTGCTGTGAAGTTCTGATGTTTTAGGCTTAGAGTTGGCTTTTTACTGAAATTTATTTGAGAACCAGCTTCTGAATTGCTTGGAAAAGCAAAAACACGTAGAAATCAAATCACAATTTAAATATTCCCGCAAAGCGAGGAATTTTGAGAGTAACTTCTGCGTGCAACATGCTGCGAAAAGTGAGCGGCAGTGCTCTTCAACGTGGGCACGAAATAAGCCACATTCTGGTCCCCTTGCGGCGATGTAAATGGGGGAACATCGAACAAATTATTCTTTCAGTTCTGAAAGTCTAAACTAAATGGTAATATTAATCAGAACATCAAAATTGAGGTAAATATTTATTATCTATAGTATATATGGAAGTGTGAACGTATATTATTTTTGGTATATTTCTGGGGTATTTTTGTGCTCACATTTGAAACGCAAAAATGCATACGGGAGAGCGTTTAATAGGAGAGAATTTCCCTGACCGTTTAGAGACAGGAATGAATTTCCCTGTATATGAACAGCGCGCTCAGCTTGCTATATTTGAATTGAACGCTCTTTTATTACCAGAAGATGTCAAACTATCGGTTGTTTTGCAACTTGTAGAGACAGGTGAAAGAGAGAGGAGCTACTATACTCGTTACTATCGATGGTTGAGGAATTAACCAACCATCGATAGTAACGATGGTGCTACCGATTTTTCTCCCAGCCCTGGTCACGCTGCGTGCGACGCCAAAAACCGCGTTTTTGTTTTTATTGAAGAAATTGCCTAAGAAACTTCCAAGAATTGCACTGATGTGGAGGGCGGAGGCGCAATTAAGAAGCGCACCAT